ATTTACATTACGTTTAGGTAATACACAAGTTCATGAGATCCCATGTTGTCATCGCATTCATGGTAGTGGACCTCACATTTTTCCAGTGTGATATCTTCCATTTATCTTTATAATATTTTACCTGTCTTTCTGACAGATATGTAAACTGGAGCCAGAAGGCCTTTGGTATACACGATCCCGACACACAGTTTTACATTGGCAACCAGTATGTCAAGTTCTGGAAGAACATTAACGAGGTGAGAGCACTAACACCAAGCTTTCAGTTTGTTTAGTACTTTGCGTTGGCCAATTTAAGTTATCAACTCATTTGATAAAACTAAAGTTACCTTGTTAAATAGAAACGGATTTGTTTTAAGCAAATATATAACCAAATTATCTCGTTAAACTCCCCGCCGACGCAGCAACACAGTTTTTTTTTTTTAGAGACTTACCCCCTTTATTCAAAGGAATCAGTTTGTGACTATTCCAATTCCTTTTTGAACCGTGCTCGGCACACATTTTATCGTTGTCATGTAGTTGGTGCTTTTGTTTCAAAAAAAAAAAAAAAAAAAAAACCCTGCACCTATGCAGTCATGCGTAAATTTCTCCTTGTAGAAAAATCCGAAATACTATTACCTTAATGAACAGAGTTCAGTTTGTATTTCTTTCACCCAACCTGTAAGTTTATGCTTTCGCGACGATGGCCTCCACTGTTTGTGATTCAGGTTTTGTGCTACACAACTGCCAACTTGGGATTCTTAACATCATTAACCAGAAACTTTATGAATGCAATGTTTGATTCCACATTGCCGTGGCAAATAATTGACAGTGCTGCTGGAAGGCTATCTCCTCTAAGGTGGGTTGGATATGAAAGTTTGTGGATCGCAGTTAAAGCTTCCAGGGCTGTATGTGTTGTAAAAATTGAAGTGGGTGCTGAGGGCGCGCATTTGACTTGCAGCTACAGAAGCGAGGGAAAACTTCCCGCCAGTTGTAGGTAACACAGCGGTTAAACGTCGAGCATGCGAAAGAGGATCAATTCTGGCGGACCGCGCGCTAATTTCCCGCCCAAAGCCTTCGAGTCTATTCCGCGAACACAAAGCTTAATCAAGTAGGGGTATCCTGTTGAGTTATCAAACTATTTTGAGGTTTAACAAAAGTGTTATACGCTTTTCAAACACCATCACCTAATTACTGTTTGGTGTTGTTGTTTGTAACTCGTGTGCGATAACTTGGTTTTGACAGCCTAAAAGCACATCACCTAGTCATTGCAACGTTCAACCTAGTCATTACAACGTTCGCACATTTGGACAAACGTAATCAAATTGGCTGAAACTGGTGCCGAAAAGAATCATGGGTTTAGAAGCTGCATTTGACCCTACATTCCCAAAGAATGACTTGCGTCTAAGATCACGAGAATAAAGGAAATGATTAACACCTAAAAAAGTCGTTGATTGTTAAACAAAATCCTTTTCTATAACACTGGAGATATATAAGGAAGAGTGTTGAGAAAATGTGTACTAATGTTAGGTTGTAAAGGGTTAACAAGAATCAACTAAATACGAAATGATAATCATATATAACACGAGGTAAAATATTTCTCTGATAGATCTCCCACTTGCATGTGGTTGGCTGATGGCAATCTTTATGGATTTGAAGGTAGAACTGATTAACATACAAATTCTTTTGAAAAGTATCGATACATTATTTTACATGCTGGTGAAGAGGGTACGGGAGAAGACGTTTCCGGTGGATGAAAAACCAGACTCTCTTACTTAATTTTCTATGGGTTATAAAGCCTTTATAATAAAGGAAATGCTCATCAGACTCTTTAAGCTTTAAGTGGTGAATACCAGTTTTCAAACCCAACATGTTGTCTTTTGGCCAGAGAAAAAATGAAAGTACGTTTCTTGAGCACCGCAAGCCGGCGAGAAGTCTGGTCTTAATACTTTTAGTAGATTCTAGTTTGGTGAAGTGATTCTGGAACTCTTTGTTCAGTTTTACAGATAGTAGACAAAGTTGAAATCAAGAGAGTTTGCTAGTACATAACGAGTTTGATCTTTCAACTTGAATTCGATTGAATGAATGCTGTCGTTAATGTTTTAACATTTCTGTTGTTTTGTTTGTTTGTTTGTTTTTTCCTTTCTTTTTTCAGGATGTAGCAAGGTTGGAGGTGAGTTAATTTAAACGCTTTCAGTTGTATTTGATGAAACCAAAATCAAAGTTGGCTCAACGAGAGATGAAGCAACTGAAGTTTTTAAAAAGAACCCGCGAGATTAATGACTGAAAACAAGCAAACTTTCTGAAGTGCGGTTAATGCGCATGACCAAATCGCAGCTTGATTTAGAGTGCACTTGATTGGTTTATAAGGTGGCGGAGTTTTCTGGACCAATCACGAAAGGAGGTAATGCAGAACTAAAGAAATCTCAGATTTACCTTCGACACAGTTGAATTTTGCTCCACAACTAAATTTTACTTCACTTCTCCAACATAAACATAACCATCAACACACGTTTTAAGTTGTTGTCCACTTTTGAAGGAGAAATTTGAAATTTTTGCTGAATTCCTTCTCCTCTGTAAGGTGTCTCTGTTCAAGACACCTGCTTGCGAGTTAACTTTGCCAAGACGATGACGAAGAAACTACCAAGGATATTATTTATGAGTCATTTGAACTGCGTGGGTACTAAGTTGTGAAACTTTGATACTGATTTCATATTCTATGTCATCAGGTTGTTGCCCACTCAATTGCACACACGTGTTTAATTACGAAATGGCCATTGCAAAGTAAGTTCTGCGACATTATAACTGTCTAATTTTTGCGAATGTCTGTGTCACTTTGAAACGATCTCTTTTGCAGCTTCGCGATTGGAATTCATGGCAATATTATCTTCCTTATTTCACTCTCATCGAAAGTGTGATTGACTTGTAACTTTTCTAAACAATTTGAATGTGATGTGGAGATGACGCCTGAAAAAGTTCAGTTCATTCCGGCACTAATTATGTTAATTTTATTCAAGTGTATTCTGACAGTGCTTAAGAATTTGTGTTTTCTCATCAGATGTTTCCCTGATTTGGAGAGAACCATGAGAGTGCTTGACCTGAAAGAGCAGATAGCTCCCAATGCTATCATACCGAGGTACGCTTTGCCTTAGATACAGCACGTTATCATCATAGGTAACTATTAGTAAATCGAGTTGAGAACATGCAACGAGTGTTAAACGCAACAACTTGACTTGCAAAAGGTGCGAGGCGGGAAAAGTTGACTGAGCCGCTGCCAATCGCGGGAAAACCTGGAGCTGGTGCCGAGCGCTGCAGCCGAGAAGCGGCAAACACGTATCCCGTTGCCAGGCACAGGAGAGTAAGCCAAAAAAATTCTTAACCTTGTAGACGCTAATAAAGACGTAGAAAATGCATTCTTGCTGTTGTTTTTGCGAGAAGGACTTACTTTTTTCGAAGCACAAAGCCATTCTAGTGCGGATAAGTGATTAGGTACGTGTAGGTTATAAACACTCACTGGTAATTCGAATATGTTCGAGAAAGTGTCGTTTTCTTAAATTTTTTTTTATAGCCGTACCACTGTGCCTCTTGAACTTCGACGCTTGTGGAGCTTTTGGCCCAACTACACTGACGTTAACCCCGCCTCTACCACGATATGCGTTGATGGCGAAATTGGAACCGTGTTGAAAGCCTACAGAGAGGTATATATTTTAGATTCTAACCGAGCGTCTCCGTGGGAAGATAGTTAAGTACTTAAAAGACAACAATAAAGCAAGAAGGAACAAGGATGTCTAAAGATGGTTAAGATTGACACGGATTGCTAAGGAAAAATTGGAGATATCAGGCATATTTTTACAAGTTGTTCTTTCCGTGCTCTTCTTAGAGTTATTGTCAACTGAGTGTCGAAAGAAATATGGGATTGCATTGGTTTTGATACACTTTGCTCTGTGATTGGTCCAAAACACTCGCGCCATCTTCTCAACCAATCAGATGCTTAGCTGAAAACAATCGCACCTTGTTTATTCGCGTTTTCTCGCACTTAAAGCAATTCGCTTATTTTCACTTTAGTTCCCATTGGCAATAAGCAATTTGCTTGTGTTTACTTTGAGCTCTCATTGGCTAGTGATATTGTAAACCCTTGTTCTGATTGGTTGCTAGGATAACTTTGGTTTTGGTGTTTCAACACTCAATAGAAAACTGCTCTATTTATAAGGCAACTTATATTTCGCAAATCTGATCACGAAAGGCTAATGAGATAAATGCAACTGCGGCCCCTCTCTTCCATCACTGCAGGTTCTTCAGGGAGCTTCTCAAGAGTGGTTTGACGGCGTTTGGCCAGCAGTTAAGAAAATCATGGCACGATGGATGGGGGAACTGGATACTGGAGATGGTAAAAAAAATACTTAACAACACTTTCAGTAGTTGTATTTTTGGCTTATTGAAAATTTTGTCAACCTTTTTAGCCCCTAAGAGTGACCAGTTTCTAATTTCTCCTTTCATTGTCTCCCTTGAATCAAATTAAAAGGTTAGGTGAATAAAGAAAATGATCACCAACAGGCTCTCGATTGGTGCACAAATTCTCCTTGTCAGCACCTTTGGAAAGGTATAAATAACAGTATAGAGAATATGCATACTGATATCAGGGTGTGAAGGGTTAACAGATATCGTGCGTCACTTTTTTGAGAGTTTTCATTCTGTCGATGTTGTTTTTTTTTTTTACAGGTTTGATTCGTACCCCCCAGCCTAACACTTACGACACCGCTTTCTACGGTGTGAACACATTCACGTGCTGCCTTTACCACTGCGCACTCCGGTTAGTAGCCGCCTTTGTTTAAGTTGTGGTGTAAAAACGTTTATCGTTAAAAATGTCCACGCTAGATAAAGACTAGTCTTTGTCGCATCTCACTGCTAAGTGAACTGGTACAGTAAACAGCTTTCAGATGGATTTGTCCCAAACTGATCCACTCTTCCTTTTATCGTGTAATAGGGCTGCAGAGGAAATGGCTAAACTTCAAAAAGAATCGGTACAGTAAAGTTTTCTTTTTCCCGTTTTCCCGTATTTCCATAGCTTTACCCCATAACTCCCAGAAGTGATTAACAGGTAATTTCTCCTTATAATATCCATACATGATCCAGCAAACTGGTCATGAGAATGCTCAAACTTATAAGGTAGAAGTCATCTTGATTTAGCACCAAATTCTCCTTACTTACTTACGAGGAAATATGTCGCAGTTAGAGGGGAGAACTAACGATCAGTTCTTGGGAATAAAAGGGTAAAGACAGCACACATGTCCAGGAAATGAAACTTTCTCTGAAACAAGGCCGATAGTTTCTAAAGAAACTGTTTGGGGCTGCGTCGGTGGGGGTAACGAAATAATTTGAATATATCGACAAAGTTGAAATGGTAAATTGGCCACCGTTACGATTATAAAAGCTGACGTTTTGAGCGTTAGCCCTTCGTCGGAGCGAAATGGGTTAACGCTCGAAACGTCAGCTTTTATAATCGTAACGGTGGCCAATTTACCGTTTCATCTTTGTTGATATATTCAATTTTTTTCTAAAACACTCTAGGTTGGTTGGAAAGGGGAGGGGAGGGGAGGTGTAAAGGATTCTCGGGTACACTGTTACCCCTGACTGTAATGAAAAAAATTATCATTTATGACAGTTGATTTGCCTCCGTATTGTAAGGAGATTCTATTTTAGGGAACCTTGACCCACTTATTGACATTCTTGTATATGCTTCTCAGCTTGCGAGCAAAGGGCCCGTTTCTCGAAGGTGCCGGTAACTGAATGGGCTCGCAAAGTTGATCTGTTTTCATTCAGAATGAGGGTTTCAAAAGTTTTGAAAATTATACGTGTAAACTGAAGAAACAAGTTGTACTTATAAAGATAACCGCCTCCCGGTTAGCTCAATGGATAGACCGCTGGACTGATGTGCGGGAGGTCGAAGGTTCGGGCCCCGGGCGGACCAACACTCAAGGTCTTAAAATAATTGAGAAGAATATGCTGCCTTTCTATAACATCAAGAAATGGTTTAGATATTCTAGTCTTCTCGGATAGGGACGAATAAATGGAGGTCCCGTCTCCTGCAGGGTTAGGGGTAGGAGACGTTAATTTCCCACGCACGAGATTACTGTGTGATGGATGTCCTCCCCTGGGGTGGGATGGGTGGGTTGTTGTCTTGCGTTTCATACATGAGCTTCTGGCTCGGGCAATATGGGTAACCATGCCCCACGTAAAGACATTAAACTTTGATTACTGTTACTATTACTAACAGGCAGTGCTTCTCTGTGCTTTAAAATTCGGGCCCGTAAAGTTAGTGGGAGTTTTGAGAAACAGGCCCCAGGCCCGCGTTATAAGCGTGTATCACCGTCCGCGAGAAGATTTGAGACGAGTCGGGAAGCGGAAAGTTTGTCGGGATTGCCCCTTGCAGACCTCTTGCCGGTTCGCGTTGCTCAAGGTCTCTTACGTTCCCGCCGGCGAAGAAACACGCTTGCCGAAGCGCTAATGGTAATGGCTTGTTCGCTGGCCAATACTTCTGGAAGGCGTCTACAATTGTTCAACATAAGATACCTAGCTAGGAAAGCTTTGAACTTATCAATTGTTTTGATCATTTTAGGACCTTGCCGATCAGTACTCAGCCAGGTTCAAACTGGGGAGTGCCAATCTCGACAAGGCCTGTTACACAAACGGAAAATGGTACACACAGGTAAGCCCCTTCACAAGAAGAACCTTTCAGTGTGCAAGGCACTTCATAATGACCCAGGGATGACAAAGCTGAGAGCCTCCTCCTTAGAACGAGGTTGCAATCCATTCAGATTTGTTCCAAAGAATATTAGTGAATTTCATCTAAATGTCCTGATATGCTTTGCTTTCTGTCTCTGTAATTTGTTGTTCATTGAGTCTTTGTTCCTATCCCCCCTGATCACTAAGGAAAGAGGAACAAGGGAAAACGTCCATACCCCACTCCCCCACCTTATCCTGGACTATACAGGGATACCCTAGTCAAAAGGAGACCCTTTTTAATGCGCGTGGTGTATAAAAGGACGCGTCGTCGATAAGAGTGGAATGCGAAAAAGGCAAAACTTTGTTAAGTCGTTTGAAAGGATCAAGCAACAACTCCACTTGATTATTTTTAGAGGTTACCCAAAATCTTTCTTTAATCTGTCATGGTAGAGAATGAATGCATTGTTTTACATCTCGTATTGTTGAAGGGCTCCTTTGTGAAACGAGGCAAGGATTAAGACCCTCGGACGAAGTAAACTACGGAAAAATTTCTTAATCAGACCTTCTCCCCTTTCTTTTTCACTTCACCTCTGCATTGTCATGTTTTAGCTCACTCTTATGAGTGACCAAGACAGAATTTCTCCTTACTAAATCAATACAATATCAAGCAGAAAAGTGATGAGAATCAAGAAAAATATCAATAAGGGGATAAATAGTTGATCCAATACCAAATTCTCCAAACTAGCATCCTAAGAATTGTATAGCAGGCAGTAAGGAGAATCACTGTTGAGATCTAGGAAGTGAAAGGGTTAATTGTATCCGTTCTTTTCTTGTAGGTGCTAGATCCAGAGAATCCAAAAGCGGAGCTTGCTGACGGTAGGGTGACTTTCTTAAGTAAATTTTTGGTTCTAAGGCAGGTGCATTACGTGACAATATTTTTTTAGAGAAGTGATGAGCTTGACTCTATTTTCTTTCCTTCTAGGAACATTCGTCGATTGTTTGCTTGGCCAGTGGTGGGCATATGTTTTGCAGCTCGGTGATATTTTACCAAAGGAACATGTCAAGTCTACTTTGGAAAACATTTATTCAAGAAATCACGTGGATTCCTTTATTCCAGGTATTGCAAATTGTAGTTAATGAAGATGGTGTTCTGTTGGAGGTCTTCCTTTGTTTCCAACGCGACGTGTGTTAGCTAGACTTCATGTTTAGTCTGCTTTGCAACTGTCCTTTGGAATGTCACGCAAAACCCCCAGAAGAAGAGTCGAGAGGAGTGTTGTGTGACATTTTAGAGTACGGCTATGAAGAATGCGACGTTATGGTTAAATGAACAATGATACTGATAATGTAAATATTGTTACTGATAGTAATGATGGTAATGGTCGTAACAATCGACGTAATTTGAGTGTTAGAATAAAATTTATCTTGGCCTCAGTTGTTGGAGAGCACTAACAATATAACTCTTTATCTGTCCAATAATGTCACCGCTGACTTCACATTTAGTGTAGGTGTACCATACCTGAAAACTTAAAGTTTGTCACGTATTTCAGTCCTGATATTTGTCGCAAGTTTGGTTTCAATTCATATTTATCCACATATATCCATATAAGACTTCTCATCTCAAATCTCCTATTATTGCCAAAAACTACATGTATCATTATTAATAGACCTTGACGAGTGCCCCATTGTTATCTCCTTTTTCTTTTAATTTCAATAAAAATTTTACTTGAAAGTACTTAAAAGTATCGTTTTGTATGAGAAGACATTTGCAGAAACATTTGTCTGCAAAATTCAACGGTAGAATTTTATTAAAATGCATAGAAACTTCTCTAAACTTGTAAAACTTATAAAAGTTTGTAATTTATTTGATGACGTTTCGACGTTGCTTCACATTATTATCGCATATTATAAGCGCATAGAGTTCAATTTTAATGGGCTATATAAGAACTTATTATTAAATTAAATTAAGTTAATCTGGTGTAATCAGATTAAGTATCGCCATATTTGAATTATCTGTCAGAGGACCAGAAACCCCGGAAGTTCTTTGATCAGCGTGACGCCGGACTCTACATTTGCCGATGGCCTGGATCGCCACCAGAAGATCCCTTCCGGTACAGCAGCGAGGTTAGTCGTGCATTTAACCTATTTAGAATTCATTTAGATTTCCGCGCACCTGCCGGATTTCAATAGGTGATGCGTTCTCTTGTTTTATATGAGAGCTTTCATCTTCTTAGACTTTCTCTGATGTAACTGGTTTATCTTATTGTCACGAGATAGAAGGATTGAATGACGCGAGACGAGGTTCTCTGTCGGGTCGCTTGTCACGCGACTTTTGATGTCAGTATCATGCTCTTAGCATGTCCCGCAATCCTTAGTCGTAGAGGGTGGATTTTGCTATACAGGCCTCAAACATAAGGACACTACTCATTAGAGACTAACGTTTGGGAAGACTTGTTCACGCAATCATCACTTAGAATAGATAGCCTGCAGAACAGACGCCATTTTTTCCACTCGAATGGAGGCAAGCGAGCACGAAGAGCGAGTCGCGCGCCAGGGAAGAAGCGCAAACTGAAAAAAATTTTTTGTGTATTCCTGCCCTTGCACGTTCCTTTTGCTTGCTTCGCGTTTGACTTTGGTCGCCTGAATATCGCAAATGAATTACGCTTGTTCAGCAGGCTAAGAATACACGGCGACGATTGAATTGAGGAATTATGTGTCCTTTGAATCCAATGTATTTTATTCCTTTTTACGCTTAAGGGAGCCTGGACCGGTTTGGAGTACGAATACGCCCACTTGTGTTTGAGTCAGTCGATGGACACCACTGCACTCAGGGGTAATGACTATTTCTTTGTCGTTTGATTACCCGTTTGGTAGCCCTGTTTGGGTGTCTGCACTCGGAATGGGCGACTTTTCCAAAACTCTTAAACTAGTCTTTTTTTGGCATGATTTCTTACTTCACATTACTTCTTTTCTGGTTTAGTTTTGACCGACACCCGTGAAAAGTATGACGGAACTCGCCGCAGTCCTTGGAACGAGATCGAGTGCGGCGACCATTACGTCCGACCAATGGCAGCTTTTACCTTATTTGAGCTAGCTTCAGGTCAGGTATGGAGTGCTTCACCATCGCTAGGTCTAAACATCCCATAAATACTTGTTTAGCTGGCGGTTTTGTGCGCGCCTTTATGAAGTGTTCAGCGACGGAGCCTCGAGAGGTCTGGGATGAGAAGACAGGAGACTCTTGGAGCTCCGCTAAGTGTTTTCCCGACTCCGCTACTATTGTTTTCATCGAGCGCTCCAAAAAATCGCCATCAACGCAGTCGACTTCGGTATAAGCTCTCGAGCTCCCAAGATCTAATCGGTAATTTTCGTGTAGTTGTTTTCCATTTTTTGTTGATAAGTGTAGAGAATTCGGTCTGACATGAAAATTAAGCCTCCTTACTGATGAGTGTATATATCTTATTAACCAAGCGCGAGGGCCGTACTGGGAGAATATTGGCCCGAGGTCTTAACAGTACGGACCGAGCGCAGCGAGGTCCGTACAAAAAAGACCGAGGGCCGATATTCTTCCAGTATGGTCCCGATCAAGCTTGGTTAATAAGAGATTTATTATTCGACTGAAGTTCAAAGGGACACAAGTGCGGTATCATTCGGGACCATTCGGGACAGTGACCGGTCCAATACTTAGAGAATATTGGACCGACAATAGAGCATTTTGATTGGTTGATTTTAGTTATTGGCCCTCTGACTGCCCGAGTCGTGTAAGAAATATCGTTATCACCTGTTTGCCGTATGATGAATCACATCTACGAGTGAAATGTTCAATTGCCTTCTTGGAAAGGAAGCCTTTTAGGGGGGTGTATTTGGTCGTTCGTGTTTGAGTAACAACGGGCTCATTGTGCATTGCACGGGAAAACCATACGTGGGACAAGTTATGTTAAATTATTGTTTCAACTTTACAGCAGGGACGGTTTTAAGGGAATTACATACGATTTGAATTCTGAATCGCTCTGTTCTCGCTTGATGCTAGTTTAAAAAATCTTCAAGCACTCTACGGAGACTCTTCTATCTGCTATGGAGTTTTTCATGAATGTAAGTAAGTAAACGTAAGTCTTCACTTTTTCTTGAATTGTTTTTCCCCAGACTTGGAAGTTGTCAGAGGTTGGGAACCCTGTGATCAGCCTTGGGTTTGCACCGCGAATTAATCCGTCAAACTTCTGTGGCTTTTTTATTACTGGCACTGCTTGGGGTCAGTTTAAACAGAAGGGAAATGACGAAATGAGAGATGGAACTGCTGAGGTAAAATATTATGAAACTTTTGTGGTGTGAAGTTTTGTTTTGCCATCCCCAACATAACCAAGGGTTTGAAACAAACACAGCCTTTCGATGATTTTGTGTTTGTTTTCACTCGACAGAACACAGACAGGTGCACAGGGACGTTTATCTTCGCTTGTCAAACAGTGAAGTCTAGACTTCAGTGTCCACTTAAAAAGGTTTCCTGACTTTTCTTTTGGTTGTTTTTTCAGCTATGTGTTCATCATGGAGAATTACGCCTATCACAACTTACTCTCAAGTCACGTGCCACCTCTGCTTTAACGCGCATGACCGGGGGTAGTAACGAACTTCTGGCCACAACAGTAGCTCAGGTATTTTGATTAAGATCTTTTCACTTTTAGGAGAAGACTTCAGTGTAGAACGCTATTGGAAGGTTGAAGTAAAGTTCATTGTGAATTTATTTATCTACCTATTTTTTTTTTTTTTTACCAGGATGCTGAACAGCTCTCAATTGAATTCAAATCTGGTGGAATTCTACTCAAAGCTGGCGAGAGTCTGCATGTAACACTTTCAGGTATACTCCTCTACTTTTACTTTTCCATTAACCCTTTACCTCCTAACATCAGTATGCATATTCTCCATACTGTTCTCTATACATTTCCTAAGGTGCTGACAAGGAGAATTTGTTTAACAATCAAAAGCCCCTTTATAGGGTTAAAGGGTTAAGAAGAAATGTATTCCTGTTGTGGGGCCGTCAATTTTTAATCAACCATCAAAGATATTGGCTCAGTAATCCACGTCTCTAGTCAATTTTTTGATGTGAATGTTGCTTAAATTTTTTTTTTTCAAGCGTTAAAAAGGATCGAACTGACATGGTCTCCGTTCAATTTATTTTGCGAATATAGGTCTTATTTCTTCTACCGTGATGAAGGCCTCGCGCCTGTTCAATAACGCTTACTGTCTCTAATTTTTGTACTTTTAAACAGGTTAAGCGTGCTTCTCTTTATGGCGTTCCTTGAAAGGAAACAAAAATGGCTTCTATATCGTTACCAACGAATGATCTGTGGGCACACTCAAAGATGACGTCTAATATTAAATTGTAAATGTTCTTTTAAGATATTGTAACGTTAGTGTCGGTAGCAGATTGACAATTTAAGCTCCAAACTGCCCGAAGGGATCAAAATGTAACTTCTCCTGATAACAAGCTGTGGGGAGAATAGATTATTAGATCTTAGGAGTGTAGTGGTTAATCCTAGGACTGGTCGGTTAGAACGACCATTGCGTTACGAGCGTGACTTCCTTTGATAAGGGGCACACAGGGTCTGTAAATCTATGCGAAAAGGTGGACTTATTGGGTCGGTTATTTACAAGAAGTCTAACCGAAACCATGGTTTCACGCAATCAGTGGGCCTCAGGCATTCCCTTCAAATGGATCGATGTAATAAAATAAACGTTCTTTCCACTATCTCCTTTCGACCCTCTTGACACTGTTCACGAAAGTTATTGTTCAGATAAATTATTTGGCTGAAGTGAAGATGGTTTAGAACGCCGTTTTGTTGAACATCGTCTAAAATTTGTCTAAACAATCAGACAATTGATGTGTACATAAGCATTGCAATCTTTTACTTTTTTTTACAATCTCTTTACAACGTTATTATATTATTTTCGTAAATGATTTACCTACCCTCGGAAAAAGCCCTGAACCTGATAAAATGAGTACTCCGCCTATTATGAAGTGGCCAAATTTAATTTTAAAATTTGGGTCTCTTATAGGAATTGAAAGAGTAAGTACCAACTCTTAGCATTTTTTTTTTTATAAAGCAAAAGGTAACAAATAACAGAATTACTGATAAACTATAGGCCCTCTATCATGACGAAATATTGGGTGCTGAAAACACATACAATATATTACCAAAACTGAAAATAGAAATGCTTTTGTAGGCTTCGCTAAAGTATGAGAAAGAAAAAGATGTTAAAATGAGGAGCTCTTTGTATCTCTTCTAGTTTAATTGTTTACGCCTTAAATTAAAATCCAAGTGCACATTGATTTGTCAAGTTATTTTATATCTAGTTCTTGGTTCTTGGTAAGTTTCGCGTGCACATACGCTATGTTAGAATTTCCTCTCTTCTATTTGTGTTTTGTCGGAGGGGGCGCTCAAAAAAGTCTTTCCCTATTTATCATCCAGTGAAGATATATTATGTTGCCTAACTGAATTTCAGATGAAGGACGAGGTCGAAAATAAGCTAACAATCTCGAGTGACCTCTATGGTCAGCGGTTCGACCCCGTGAGGCCCCTTAATGCAGGGGGTGGCCCCAAACCCATGGCCACACAAATTTCTCAAGTAATTTTAGACGAGAGCGAATGGCGAAGGGCAAACGCTCGAAACTTCAGCTTTGAAACTTTACGGTGACCAATTTGCACTAATCAACTTAGTTGATCAAACCAAAAATAACCTTGTTATACTTCCCCACCGACGCAGCAACAGGTTTCTTTAGAAACTTACCCCCTCTATTCATTTCTTTCTATTTAAGGTTGGTTAATGCCACCAAAATAAAACGTTACGCTTTGACTTTTACTACCTATGATGCGGGGACAAAAATGAGTCTCTAGTCTTATTCTAGGTAGGAGATAAAGACTTAAGACGAAAAGAGATAATAGTTGTTTCCAAGACGTGGTAACAAGAAAACCACTTATTTTCTGTCTAACAGTCGTGGTCGCTTTGCACAGTAAGTTTAGTGGATCCTGAATGCTGTCGGGTAGCGATTTATGTTTATACGTAGAAGGGATCGCAAACAAGACTGACTCGTTCTTAGCAAGAAGCCTTGCATTTGAATCGAAAGCCGCACCAAAACATTAACAGTAATGGAAGATCCAACAATATCTGACGGACCTTTAAGCAAAGCTATAAAGCGGGTATTAGCAGGTGATGATAGGGAACAGATCGCGGAGGACTTAAAGAAATCGATTCAAGAAGGACGTCTTAAACGATCGGAGAATTCATCATCGTTCATCATGACAATTAACATGAACGGTCCCGCCAAGGGAAAGGGAACTGCAGAGAAACGGAGGATTTGCTTTCGATCATACTGCGTCGTGCTTTTGCGTCCGGTACAATATTCTGCTAAGAACTACCAGGAAAATTTGACCTAGAAGCTGTTCCAGAGGGCGACGATTTCGTTGTCAACGAAAAGGAGACTGCAGTAATATGGGACAGCCAACACTTCCATGGCCCAAGCGACGGACTTAGGGCGATAGACACAGAAATAAAGAGATTGATGGAAAGAGTGGAAGGAAAAACTCTTCAGCGAACGGGCCGTGCTCTGCAGAATTTCAATGGTTAGGCTAAGGCCTAAACAGAATCCGGAAGCTGACATACTGGTAGTTTCATATTACGCGCCTTACAAGATAAAGATAGAACAAAAACGCAGTGTTTGCCAAATTCTGCTTTCATTTCTTGATCAAGTATTGACGAAGATGGAAATAAGTTTTTATATCATTGATGGCGATTTCAATTTTGATGCACTGGATTTCGAACTCCCCAGGGATATGATCGTCTCACTCTACGAGACGAGCCGCTAGATCACAAGAGAAACAGAAAGAATCGTCTAGGTTTATACCTTACAAGGACAACTTATTTATTTTCCACGTAGGGTGGTCTTGCAAGTGTCTTGGACGGCGAAACCCATTTTATTTACAGATAAGGATAATTCAAACAGTGATCTGACCAAAGAAGATCATTAAAAGATTAACGTGCGAATCAAAGACAATGGAGGGCACCAATGCAGCCGAAGCGACACACATGTTGGATCACGACCCTGTTGTCGTTAAGTGTTCTTGCTCTCTCTTTCCCGACCAAAGCAGTTAAAAACCTCTCAAAAGGATTCGAAAATATGACGATGTCAGACAATCCAGAAGTAGCGGAAGCTTATTCAGAGACTAAATAGTTATAAATAGCTGTTGTTTAAAAAAATAAAATTGGCGTCAGGTAAATATTACTCCTTGTCAATATTTCATTTATTTAACCAACGGTCGATGTCTTTTCACTCCCGAAAAAAAAGTGTTATTTTTTTCTTTATTGGTATTTTTGGCCTCAACTTCTATTTAGCCTAGAGTAATATATATTACCGCATGTTCCTACTTCGTTGCGCCTGTGCCTGACTATTTTCTTTTTGGGTGATTGAAATTTGTTGATTTTTATGCGCGCATTCAAAATTCGCTTTGACATGTAACGTTCAAAAGGTGATTCGGGCGCTCGCCTTTAGAAGTCGTGAAAAATTCACCAATTTATTTTTTTTCAAAATTTTTGGTATAGTCTGATAGCCAGTCCTATAAGCTTTAATTTGATATAGGGGTTTAGATATCGACATTTTAAACCGGACGCGCTACATCGCTTGCACGCGAGACACCCCTGAAGGTGCATGCATAGTAACCTTAAGTACTATCGAGCGCGTGGTCCAATTGTTACACAAATTAAAAATATTTGAATAAGAACACAAAAGATCGAAAAAAGGTCTCTTTGAATTGAAACGAATCTTATTTAAGTGTTCAGCTGTTTGGAAGCACTAACTGCCGGAGAACGTAGATTAAACTCACAACTTCGAAACTAACAATACTTATCTTAATAAGGATAGAGCAGCTTCAGAAATAGAAATGACATTAAAAATTGTTGCTTATCTATGCAAGGTTGGTGTCAAGTTTGATCGTATGAAAGGAATTGAAATTACGAGTACAAACTCAATTGCCAAACATCACGAGAACCAATTTTACCACGGAAAGACCATCAACACTTATATTTACCTAAAAATTTCACTAGAATTGCACAATAAAGTACCGAGATGCAGCTGTACAACTTAAGTTAATTGTTCAAAAACTGCTGTGGTTATATATTTTCAAAATATCACAATGAAAGAAACTTGCATAAATTAAGAACGGCTAGAAACCGAAAACAACGAATAAATATGCTTAAACATTCACACGGAAAAATCACTAAATTTTCCCGTAACAAAGTTATTTTATGGTCTTCATTGACTGGAGCTTGTCTTTTGGAAAAGGACGATTTATCAAAGTTTACTGCGCATTGTGTTTGCTTTTCTGGCCCTTTCCTGTTTCTCCAAAATTCAAATTAATCTTTAATACGGTAACAGGTGCCGCTGGCTCAAGACTGACTCATTCTTGGCAAGAAGCCACGCATTTAAATCGAAAGCTACTCTAAAACATTACCAGTAATGGAAGATCCAACGATATTTGTCGGACTTTCAAGTGAAGCTATAAATCGGATTTTAGCAGGTGATAATAGGGAACAGATCGCAAATGACTTAAAGAAATCGATTCCAGAAGGACGTCTGAAAGCATCGCAGAATCCATCATCCTTCGTCATGACAATAAACATGAACGGTCCCACCAAGGGAAAGGGAACTGCAGAGAAACGGAGGGATTTACTGTCTATTATTCTAAATTCCGGTTTCCCGCCCGATATAATCTTCTGCCAAGAAATACCAGGAAAATTTGAAGCAGAAGTTATTCCGGAGGGCTACGATTTCGTTGTGAACGAAAAGGAGGCTGCAGTAATATGGAACAGCCAACACTTCGATGGCTCAAGCGATGGACTAAAGACGACAGACACAGAAATAACCAGATTGATGGAGAGAGTGGAAGGAAAAGACTCTTCTGCGAACGGGCTGCTCTCCAGAATATCAATGGTTAGACTAACGCCTAAACAGAATGCGGAAGCTGACATACTTGCAGTTTCATATCACGCGCCTTACAAGATAGAGCAAAAACACAACGTTTGCCAAATCCTGCTTTCATTTCTTGATGCAGTATTGAAGCAGAAAGCAATAAGTTCTTATATTGTTGGTGGGGATTTCAATTTTGATACACGGGATTTCGAGCCCCCTAAAGATGTGACTGTCCCATCTTACGAGATGACCCCTCGATCACAGGAGAAACAGGAAGAATCATCCAAGTTTATACCTCATAAGGACAACTTCATGTGGTTCCCACGTAGAGTCTTGGAGGTGAGTTGGACAAGACCTATTTCGTTTGAAGACGAGGACAATTCTAACACTGATCTAACCAAAGAGGATCATAAAAAGGTTAACGAAGCAATGAACAAAGAGGGCACCGAGGCAGCCGAAGCGACAGACATGTTGGATCACGACCCTATTGTAGGTGTCCTTGTTCTCTCTTCCCCGTCCAAAGCAGTAAAAAACCTCTCAGAAGAATTCAAAGATATGTCGTTGTCAGGTAGTTCAGAAGGAGAGAAAGCTCATCCAGCGACAGAGAAGCTAACATATAGCTGTTTTCCTTTATGACGCTATTCGGCGTCATGTAAATAACAGTCTTTGTCAATATTTCATTAATTCTATGGTCGAGGTCGCTTTAGTCCCGAAACAAGAAATAATGCTATTGATACCTCATGGATATTTTAAGCGTTAACTTTTATTTTGGGTTAAGTAGTGTGAATTGCAGTATATGTCTAACTTGCTGCGTGCCTCAGTATTTTCACTTTGGGTGATTGAAATTTATTAGTAAATTTGACATGTGCATTCAACTAACAAAATTGTGTTTGGCATAGTGCCTGACGCATTCTGATTGTGAACCAATCAAAATCGCCAGTAGGGTACAAAACAATGGCATTTTTCTTAATTAATTCACATTTAGCAACTTTTCGAGTTAGGAGCAAATGTAGATTTGGTTGTTCAAACTTTGTAACGTCTGTAGTTCGATATTTCGTAACCACAAACAGACCCTAAATCAGTATTAGACCAGTAGATTCAAATGAATCGAGACCAGTATTATCCCTACTTACGTAAAATTCCAATTTAGACATTTTGTAATCTGCATCTATTTTAAAGTTCAACTTGTTATTAATTTTCTAACATGTGTCAGTATACCGATATGCGGCGTTAGAGACGAATATCCAATTAGACATGATTTGATGCTACACTGGTTTAAAGATATAATGAATGTAACCGAAATTACAATTCATCGACCCAACGTTTCGACACACTGATTGTTCAACTGGTTGATGTGTGAACTTAAGTCTATCGAGAATCCAATTGTTTATCGCTTTACTCTAAAGACAACCAAAATACCTGTAATACCAGTCGTCGTCTTGTAGTGTAGTGGCTTAGACTAATTGGCTTTTTAAATCCGAAACGCTTTTAACACATATATAGTATATTAATCCCTCTATATATATATTTAGTATAATTTCAGAGCTGAGTAAAGAGTTATATATCTATATAACCAAAGATTATATATCTATATGTATCTATATATATCTCGCTCAGGGCAAATTTTCTTCTCAAACATTTATTCTATTTAAGTATGATTATTTGGGGTGGACAGGGTCAGGGTTTCCCTTGTATACAGAATTTGTTTAATTGAAATTAGCCTGTATCCGTTATTGGATCCTCCTTTGTCATCCGCTTAGTTGACTTCGGTCGTGTATCTTTAATAGATCCTTAGTTGGGTTTCATATGGGGTTATAGGCTTCCTCTACCCTGTCACCTCGAAAATTAAGTTTCCCGGGAGACCACGTCTCCGATCACGTAAATCACATCTTCGATTGCGGTGGTGCCAGCATGGTTGTCCTGATAGTGTAGTGGTCATCACACCTGACTAGTAACAGGGGGACGTGGGTTCAAATCCAGCTAAGGGCAAATTTTCTTTTCAAACATTTATTCTATTTATATATATATTACTTTATATATATACTTCTATATATATATATATATATATATATATATTATACTTAATAAAGTGTGACTTGATTTTCGTAGAACAGTGCTCAATACATAGAAGTAGAGCGAAGTATATATTGTGGGAGGAAAAAGACAAGCTCGAGTG